AATTGTTACTAGTAGGATTTCATGTATGAACTAGTCCAGCAACGCACCTTTCATCCACATGTCTCCTTCCCTCCACTACTGTCCCAGAGTCCCTCGCCCATCTCGCTCACTCCTTGGTAAGCTTCCTACTGAAGACAAGTTTTCCCTCAGTTGCCTTTGGGTATTTGTTATTCCCCTGTTTTGTTCCTTCATACTCCACATATAAGAGAGCTCATTCTGTGTCTGTTCCTCTCCTGACTGACATCACCAGCATGATACTCTCCAGCTCCAAGTTGCAGCAGATTTCATTTTTTTCTTATAGCTAAGTAGTATTCCAAATTTAATTGTACCCTTATTGAGACAATATGGAAATGGGAAACTTTCATGGTGACAGTGGTAAATTTGGGGTACACATGCCTTGAGGTGTGTATGTTATTTTGATACAGGGAGTTTAAAATATGTTGTGTGTCTAGTACTGTGTATATGTGTGTAGTATATGTGTGTAGTATATGTTTATGGGTGTGGTACTTCAACCTTTATAAATAAATAAAGAACACTGCTATTAATTAATTCATTATGATATATGGCAAAATTGTATCTTAAACTTTGAACTAGCAATAATGAGTTAACTATAGGCAATGTCTTACATATTATTATTAAATAGTTCAGAAAAAGGACAATGTTTGGTTCAGTACTATTGTAATCTTAATGTGGTTTTATTTGATTGTTTGTTTGATTGGGAGCTTCCCAAGCAGATCTCAGAAGGTCTGGGGCCCCACTGCAATTCTCACCGGCTGGGGGAGTGGTTAAATACAAGGACCCTGGGATTTCATGCTTATATTCTCAATCTTTTTGGAGTTCTGGGATTTTATAGAACTTAAAATTTTCTTACAGGGAACAATATATTTTGTTTAGATTTCTGCTTGTGGCTACCACTGACTTTCCTGCATCACAGCAAAATCATCATCAGTAGCAAAATCAAGAATACGTACAGTGACAGAGATAAAAGCATAAATTAACCTCTGTGCAGAAGTGCTCTTTTCTTCCTTTCCCCTTTGAAAAAATTGTCTTTGAAACAGTCAGTTGTAGTGAAAAACTATTAAAACCTAGGTTTTCAAAGTGAACACTTCAGGGTTGAGGTAAGGAAGTTTATAAAAAGAAACATAGTTTTTGTTCATTGAGAAGATCTACCAGTACTTTAAAACAATCTGTGTACGACTTGGCAAATTGTCATTTAAATGCTAATGAAATGGTAAACAGCTGCTTCGTTTTTTTTTTATGCTAATAAACGGTGGCTGCTAAAGTAATTCTGGAGCCCTGCCTTTATTAGCATAGAGGTTTGATTGTAAGGGGGAATCTTTAAGCATTCTGACCTTTGTTGATGGCATACTGCTTGCCAAGTTCCATGTTGCATTCTATTTGATTTGAGTTTGTTAGTACAAAGTAATATTTGATTTGAGTTTGTTAGTACAAGTGATTCTCAGGAGGCATATCAGGAGCCTTGTATTTTACATTTTATCAGCCATCATTTGTGGGCTTCAAAAGGATTCTTTTCTGAGGCCAGAGATAGTATGGTGATGTTACTTGCCTTGCATGCAACTGGCACTGATTTGATCCCCAGCACCGCATATAGTCCCACCAGCCTCAGCCAGGAGCCATCCCTGAGCACAGAGCCAGTCGTAAACCCCGAGTACAGCCAGGTGTGACTCAAAAATAAAAGCAGAACCAAACAAAAAATGAAAATTTTCTTTCCTTTTGAGATCCACTATGATAAAATAATTACACATTTGTTCATCAGGTAACTTTAAAGATTATAAGTCTGTGTACTTTTTATATTTCAGTCTTTTAACTGTTATAATAATTATAAATTATAAAATGCCATTGCTTTAATATAAGAAATACTGGTCTTGTCCATGGTCCCTTGAGACTCCCAGGAGCAATTCCTGAGCACCACCTGGAGTGATCCCCAAGCACTATGTGGAAGTTAACCCTTTGAGCACCGATGGGTGTAGCCCAAAAACAAACATAAAGAAATATTTGTTTCCTTGCTATCTACCTAAGATTGTAAGGCAAAGATTTTAAAATCAATTATTTCATAAGTGCCTCGGCAATATTTGACATCTTGATACATCTTAGATCTACAATCTCTGAAGTTAGTAATTAGTGTAATATTGCCTAACTAAAAGCATGTGATTAAGGAGGAGGTAGTTATATGAATGACAAACTTTTCTCTTTTTTTTCTGGTTTTGAAACAGTGTAAATTAGGTGATTAGGTGTGCAGTCCATTAAACACTCTTATCAATAATATTCTCCAATATTCTGCAATATGATGCAGAATTTATTAAGGAAATGCACTTCCAAAAGTACCATTGAAGTAGGAATTTTGATTATTCTGGGGAACTATAAGAATGTCTTAATCATTAGAGCATTCTCACAAACTGTTTATTATTTTTAGCAAGTCAGCTGGAAATTTTAAGCATATAATTATTTATGGCTCATATAGTCATGCCAGGAGAAATTGGAACTATCACACACTATTAATGGTAATAGAAGTAGTTCAGCCGTTATGAAAAATAATCTGGAAAATCTTGACTCAAACATGGGATTCTCAATTCTTTTTTAAAAAATTCATTTATCTGCTTTATGTTTTTGAGCAATACCTGGCTGTGCTCAGCACTTACTCCTGATTCAGAATTTAGGGATTATTTTAGAGGGAATAGGGGAACCATACAGGGTGCTGGGGATCTAATGTGGGTCAACCACATGCAAGGCAAGTACCTTATCCTACTGTATTATCTCTCAGGAACTTGAAATTCCAAATTTGATATTTAGATATGTTGAAAACATAGCTACATCAAAACCCAAAAACAAATTCTTTTATTTCGTTATTCATAAAAAAGCAGAAACAAAAGTAGAAACAATTCAACTATCAGTTGATGAATGTATAAGTAAATATGGTACATCCATATAATAAAATATTATTGTCTTAAGCATTAATGAGATTCTGTTATAGGTAACAACATGGAAAATCTTGAAAACATTATGGCAAGTGAAAGAAGAGTAGCAGGATACTTCATATTGCATGTTATTGAAACATTCAGAACAGAGACAAACTAAATTTGTGCTTGCTAGGGGTGTTGATCTGAAGTTGTAAATGGCATCTAATAGAAGTTTCATTTAGGGGGTGTGAAAATGTTCTGAAATTGATTGTGATAATGGTGGCACACTGAATATGCTAAGCATCACTGAGTTATTTTCAAGTGGATGAATTATTTTATTATGTGAATTATATCTCAACAGAAGTATTCTATTAAAAAGGTAAAGGTAAAGGCCCTCCCGTTGATCGTCGATTTGCTCGAGCGGGCCCAGTAACGTCTCCATTGGAGACTTTGTTGTTACTGTGTCTGGCATATCGAATACTCTCGGTAGCTTGCCAGGCTCTCCGAGAGGGGCGGAGGAATCGAACTCGGGTCGGCCGTGTTGGCCGCGTGTAAGACGAACGCCCTACCCGCTGCGCTATAAAAAAAAAACTAAACTACTTCAAATCTGGTTGTCCAGGGAGCCATCTGTACTAATAATTACTTAATATGCAGTCTGTGGAGGCTACAAACTAAAGAATAATGCATATTGCTGGAAAGGAGTGCTTTAACACATGGTTTAAGCCAGCTATCTAAAGAGATGACTGCTATTATGATTATTAAAGGGATAGTTCCTAAAATATTATAAAGCTATTTTATGGTGGGAGAAGGGCACATCCAACTTTGCTCAGGATCTACTTCTTCCTCTGTGCTCAGTGATCACTCCTGGTAGGACTCAGAAGACCCGATAGGGTACCAACAATTAAACATTGGTTATCTGAATCCAAGGCAAGCCCACCGTATTATCTCTCCAACCCCTCTTTTTTGTTTTGTTTCCTTTGTGAACCACACACAGCTGTGCTCAGGATTTACTGTTGTCTCTGTACTCAAGGACCATGCCTGATGGGCTTTGAGGGGCCATATGCCAGGAATTGAACCAGAGTTAACTGCAATGAAAGTGTCATACCCACTGTACTGTCTTCGGTCCAATAGGAAGATCTTTTTACAAAGTAAAAGGCAAATATTTTTTATTGTTGCCTCAACTCCTTCCTGTCCCCCAATAACCAGCCTTCTCTCAGACTTTAATCACTCATTTTAGATTCTCTAAAACTGTAATGTCTAGAGTACTCATTTTCCTCAAAGTAAGGGTAATTTTTAGATTGTTTTTTGAGGGAAAAATTGTTCGAGTCATAAATTTCTTGAGAACACACTATAACCATAAAAGTCCAAGTTTTTTTCTGAACATGTTAGTCCAGAAGTATAACAAGTGGAGAGTGGTAACAGGCTCTGAGAATCAACAGATCTCAGTATTCCAAGGGTTTAGAGTTGAAGGTAGGGTGGGAGGGCCCCTGTGAATTATTGGATGGTCACTGCAACTTTGGTGGTGAATGTCATACTGAAATATTATATGTCTGAAAATCTATTATCAACAGTATTGTAAATCATGGTTTCCAAGTAAACATGTTTTAAAAAGGAAGAGGCTAAGATTTCTTCCCCTTGTTAAGACACCTATACTTTTCTCTGATTTGCATAAAGCATACCTACTATCCATTCAGTTATTTTGAATACCAATAGATTCCAATTTTAAGAGTTTCCTTCCCTCCTCTTTCCTACATTTTTGGTTAGTCAGAGACAATGGCTAGACTGTCAGAAGACAACATCCTGCCCCACCTACCAGAAAATCCACTTACTATATATCTCCCTCCACTAATTCTAAGCCGCTCTTGGACTTTGCCCAAGAGAGTATTCAGCATCCTTTTCAGAAAAATTATCAAGAAACCCCTTTGAATTACATTTCCTCATTCTACAGCCTTTGCATACATCCAACATAACTTTCTTGCTTGTAGTAGTAGCTTAGCAGAATTATTTGTGCACAGTACGTAGACTGTGGAGGAAGATGGGTCTAAGAAAGAGACTAATTTCTTTTTGTTTTGTTCTTGGCAGGCAGTACATGCCACACTACGACGCTTCCTGCTCTTGTGCGCACTCCAACTCTGATGATGCAACCTTCACTGGATATCAAACCATTTATGTCTTTTCCAGTGGACAGTAGTTCTGCTGTTGGGCTCTTTCCAAATTTTAACACAGTGAGTAAATGTATTTTTATTTTGTTTGTGTTCTCAAACTCTTTATTACACTTGTGGATAAGTAATTTCAAGTTTAGAAGTAGCATATTTCCGAAGTATGTAATTTAGGGTCATATTGGTTAAACTAGATGAGTGTGAAAGTTATATTATGGAAGATAATGTTCCCCCTATGAGATGTCAAAAGAGGATATTTTTATTTTACAAACATATCCACAGGTGACTTTTCACCTGTTGCTTTGTGAAATTTTGATAGACTTTTTAGTAGCCTGAGTAACCATGTTCATTTTGGAGCACTATTCTATGTGCTTAAGAACAAAATTTTGAAACAACAAACAGAATTGGATTTTCTCTACTAGGAAGGAAAAATCTTGTCTGGGTAGATTTATACTAGGAGATATTACAAACACTCCCACAAAAAGCATTTTCATTTGGAAGATATTGTGGGTTTTACTGAATGTTTCAAATAGAAAAAAATAAAATGATCTTTTGTAGTTATCTGCTTAATACTTTGTATTCCCTTTATTTATTTATTCATTTATTTCTTTTTTTCTTTCTTTCTTTCTTTTTTTTGGCTTTGGGTCATACCTGGTGATGTTCCATCCCCACTTTAGATTCCCTTTTAAAAAGTTACAAATATTAGTGAATTTCTTATAATTATCAATGCTTTTCATTCAGGTCAGCTGCTATTACTTTATCTGGATCCAATAGACTTTTTGTAGGTGTGCTAAGTGGAGTCTGACCCCCTTTTTGAAGTAGGATTCAGCTTAAAATTCATCCAAGTGATATTATAAGCTTATAGTAAAATAAAAGATTAAATAGTGCACATAAGCGCATGAATTATGTCTATTTCGTGGATACATTTGGTCTGTTAAGGCATGATGACTTACATGAATGATACATCATTAGAGAAAGTGCCATGATCAAGAAAAAGAATTGTATTATCAGCACCGCCAGACAGTGAGCTTCTGAAGTACTGCCAAATGTTTCTTTTGCAAAATTATCTTCTGTGTAAAGTCAAAAACATCACAGCATGCCTTTTTAGAATTTGAACTCAAGTGTGTTTTCTGTGCTCTGGACCAAAATCTGGATGATACTTTCAAGAATAATTGGTTAGTGTATTATATACTTTGGAAGAAAGCCTTTATAGACACCATTGTCGGGAAGCAGGATGGCTGATGTCAGTTAGTATAAATGTCTCCTACTTTGGTTTTTTCTCTGTAATTTTTTATCACAATACTTCAATTCTTATTTTAAAGATTTAAATGAAAGAATAGCAAAGTGTGAGCGTCACTGTTCCCTCTTCCTATATTTATATCTTGTCCCTTTACTAAAGTGGCCTCAGTTGCAGGCATTCATCCTGCCAGCTTTGAGCAGTATGTTTTATATATAACTTATCATGGGCATCCAATGACAGTTGTCTTTTTACAACTGTGATCATCTAATTAGCACTATTATATAAATTTTCCTTTTTCAGTTATCAGTCAAGAAGTCATAAAACAAAAAATGAAAAAGAGTAACTGAATAATTTTAACAAAGTTTCTTGTAAACCCTGAGTGAGTGAGTGTGTGTGTATGTGTGTGTGTGTATGTGCGTGTGTGTGTGTTACCAGGAGTTAAGCCAGGATCTCATGCAAGACTTATGTTTTTTCACTGAAACACATTCCCAGACCTCACAAGGATTTCTTCTTACTTTTTTTCTTTTTATGTTTTATTTTTTTTAATTTTGGGCCCACACCTGGTGGGGCTCAGGAATTACTCCTGGCAGTGCTCAGTACCCAGAGAGGCAAAGAAGTATAGTCGAAGTAACATCTGCACTTGTTTGTTCATTGCAGCACTCTTTACAATAGCCAGAATCTGGAAAAAATCTGAGTGCCGGAGAACAGATGACTGGTTAAAGAAACTTTGGTACATTTACACAATGGAGTACTATGAAGCTGTTAGAAAAGAGGAAGTCATGAAATTTACATACAAGTGGTACTACAAGTGGGAAGTATCATGTTAAGTGAAATGAGTCAGAAAGAGAGGGACAGACATAGAAAGATTGCATTCATCTGGGGAACATAAAGCAACAAAAAGGGAGACTAACACCCAGGAATGGCTGAGATTAGTACCAGGAATTTTGCTCCATGGCTTGGAGGCCAGCCACACTTGCTAGGGGAAAAGGGAGCTCAGATAGAGAAGGGAGCACCAAGTTAAGGGTGTTGGGAAGATCTGGCCAGGATGGGAGAAGCATGCTGAAAGTAGACTATAGACCAAACATGATTGCCACTCAATGCCTCTTTTGCAAACCACAACACCTGAAAGGAGAGAGAGAACAAAAGGGAATACCCTGCCACAGAGGCAGGGTGGGATGGGGGGGATGAGGGTTGGGAGGGATACTGGGACCCGTGGTGGTGGAAAATGGGCACTGGTGGAGGGATGGGTACTTGATCATTGCGTAATTGAAACCCAAGCACAAAAATTTGTATGTCTACAACTGTACCTCATGGCGTTTCACTAATAAAAATAAATAAATAAATAAAAATTTTTAAAAATCCACTTTATTGGCTGAATGCAAAGCAAATGCCCTAGCCCTCACCCACATACTATTTCTCTGACCCCAGTCATACAGCTTTTCTCAAAGATAAAAATACAGTTTTACAATGGCTTTGTTATATGTAATAAGGTTTAAGGATTCACTATTTTTCCCTTTTGTTTATTACACTTAACTCATATCTTATGATGCACTTGAGAACACACAAAGAATAATTCAATAATTCTACTAACAAGAATTAATATTGTTTTCTTTTTTGAAGAAAATAAATGTCTGATTATCACAATAAAATACATTCTGGTTAAAGTTAATGATATAGTTGAGAGTTATATAAAATAATCATGTAGTCCTTACCTTCCTTATGCTCTATCCAAGACATTTATTGGACATAATAGTGCACTCAGTGAACACTTAGTGCACAAACTCTGGTTATGGATTAAAAACTAAATCATTATAGTGGTAACCTCTTTTTCCCTTATAAATAAATGAATTTATAGAATCACTAGATAACCTGTGATTTTTCAGTGAGTCACAATTTATTATTTTTTTTTCTATAGACTTGTATTCATGTACAAAATTCCCTAGGTAAATTTAATAAAAGCTATATTATTCCAGAAAATATTTTACATTGCTAGTAATAATTATACTAAATTACCACATGCTTGTGGTATATTATGATCTTCAAAATGCTTAAAATTTAAAATATGTTAGTAGGTCCCATACTAAATATCACAATAGAATATTAGCAATTTTGCATAGAGTAAAATGTTAATAAAGGAAGATGAATTAGAATCTTCTAACTCTGAAACATATATTCTGATTTTTATGTCCTTGAATCTTTGGTCTGTGTCACCTGCCACCTCATTCATTGTGAACAAAGCTCAATCAGAACTCTTTTGTGCTCTTTTCTGGAAGCTAGTAGACAGTTTTCAGCAGAATCATTAAGTGCAAAAAGGGAATTACTTTTGAGTATGTAAAATTGGCTTTTATAATCTGTGAAACTATATTTTTAATGAAGATAATTTTTTAAAAAATTAAAAATCATTCTACATTTTTAATTTTAATCTAATTGTACACCTATCCTTTGTTAACCAAAATCAATCCTGTAATCTATTTTTTGTTGTTGTTGTTTTACTTTTGGACCATAACCTGCCTTGTTCTTGGTCAGGGGTTGCTCTCAGTGGTGCTAGAGGAACCATGGGATTCCAGAGATCAGGATAAAACCAGGACCTCAGCATTCAAAGCATGCCTCCCAAGCCCTTTGTGCTCTCTTCTCTACCCCATAATCCATTTTTAGTCAATTGATTGTATTTATAAGCATAAGAAATAAACTAGATAACAATTATAAGAAAAATGACAGTATACTATAAAACTATAACTGAACTTTTTAGAATTTCAAAGTTGTGCTGCTTTTAAATATGTGTGTATTTGCTTGTTTGTGTCTTGGATGAATATAGAGTGACTAAAGTTATTATCTTATGCAGTAAGTTTTTTTCTATATTCTATATCTTATTTAGAAATATTTTTGTCTTAATATCACATGATTATTTTCTTTAGGAAACAATTGCTACTAGTAGAATTATTTTTTATTTTCTCAAACATATCAAAAATCTCTCTTCTGTCTCTCATGTTCTCTCTCCTTTTCTCTGTGCATATATATATAATATATGTATATAAATTCTTTGTGTAATTTATTTTTGGTAGAGTATCATAACATTACATGAAAAAAATCAAGAATAAGTTGTGTTTTTGTCGTATTCCAAACATGAATAGTGGTTTTATCTATACTAAATTGTACACAGTAAAGAAATGCTTCAGTGTTAATTTAGTAGTTGTCTTGTATTGTATTCCACAACCAACAGACTCAGTAGGGGTGCTTGTGTGTGTGTATGTGTGTGTGTGTGTGTATAGTGACTTTGTCCATGCATAGTTATGAAGAAATATGTTAGGAAAGATGAAGTTTCAATCATGATGATTTATGATGGGTTATGTGTCAAGGATTCTCATCTGGAGAATGATGATGTTAACTTTAACCTTCAGCAGCTGTGCTTTATAGAGAGACTGGTTTGAGCCACTCATGGGCAAAAGATGTGCAAACCAAGACACACTAAAGATCTTGACCTTTACTTAAAGCTTAATAGTCTTCTCTGCCTGGCTGACCATTAGTGGTCATTTCCCTCACTGCCACCCCACCTTCAGCCATCTGTCATTTAGGACTCAACTTGCTATTACCTCCTTTACAGGACATCTTCTGCAGCTCTTCAAGTCTAAAGGAGTAACCAGGTATCCTCAGATTATCTCCCTCATAGAGTTGTCACTCCATCAACTAACTAGATGATTATATTCACTGAATGTCAGTTCCTTGAGAACAGGAGTAATATCTTTTTTTATCTTTGTATGCTTTTTGAGTTCAATGATAACACATGGGTTCAATAAAATTTTTTGAAGGAAGAAATATCAGTAGAATA